TCAAAAGTGGGTGAAAGGGAATCAATGAGGGTATAGATAAAATTCTTCCTGTAATATCCGAGCAGGGATGGGACTCAGACAACGGATTCAAGTTGGATAAGTTTAGGTTTAGGAGAGGGGAGATAAGGAAGGCAGTTCACAAATAGGGTGGTGGACGAGTGGAACAAGCTTAGCAACTTTGTAGTAAGTGCGGGAACTCTGGAAAGTTTCAAAAGAAGGCTAGATAGATTCATGGATGATAGAGAGTGGTAGTAACTCTCGACAGGAGCTGCCATGCACAGGCCAACCGGCCTATTGCAGACTCCTTATTTTCTTATGTTCTTATGATAACACTGAAGGTACTCCAAGGACGTTCATTCTCTTCAACACCAGACACTTGCCCTCCTTGCCCCTCCCCTGCCCTCCCTTCTTCTCTCTTGCCCCTTCCCTCTCCTCTCCTGCCCTTTCCCTCTCCTCTCCTGCCCTTTCCCTCTCCTTGCCCCTTCCCTCTCCTCTCCTGCCCCTTCCCTCCTCTCCTGCCCCTTCCCTCTCCTCTCCTGCCCTTTCCCTCTCCTCTCCTGCCCCTTCCCTCTCCTCTCTGCCCCTTCCCTCTCACTACTGCCTCTCCTCTCCTGCCCTTTCCCTCTCCTCTCCTGCCCCTTCCCTCTCCTATCCTGCCCCTTCCCTCTCCTCTCCTGCCCCTTTCCCTCTCTTACTCTCAAATTGTCTTCCTCTCCCACCCCTTCCCTCTTCTTTTCATTTCCTTTTCCATTAACAAACATCTCTCTCCCTCCCTTTCTCTCTCTCTCTGTTTCTGTGTGTGGAGAGAGAGAGAGAGAGAGAGAGAGAGAGAGAGAGAGAGAGAGAGAGAGATCTACCGACTTTCATTTTTAACATAACTTGTCAACTCTATTATGTTATATGTCGGGGTCGCGTGCCAACATTGTAACCCTTATGTTGATCTTGGCGTATATTGTACGCGTTATTAGCTGGTTTGTAATGCGTAAAATAAGTACAGATAAGCGTAACATTATGTACAGATAAGCGTATGTGTCGTAACTCGGATTCTCGGTTTTGATGTGTTAATGATAGAGTTTTATTTATAATGTTGTTTCAGGTGCTCTCATTCACACACTCAATCCTACCTGACTGGTGTGACGGCCTTGTGAGTGTGTGTGTGTGGTCAAACCTGCTCTAGTGCTTCTACACCTGGTAATCATAATTCACCTTATTTATAATTAACTCGTCGCCCTCTCTCTCTCTCTCTCTCTCTCACTGCATTACTTCCTTTCATTGCTGTGTTGTGTATGACTTACAACATCACAACCTCAAACATTACAACATTTAAGTAACAATAAACTGACAGACAGAGAAAGAGAGAGAGAGAGAGAGAGAGAGAGAGAGAGAGAGAGAGAGAGAGAGAGAGAGAGAGAGAGACGCACTAAGAAGCAACGAGACAGTTACAGTCGTTCTCAGTAACAGTTTCACCTGGTCTAATCACCATCATCATCTGTTACAGTCAATGGTCTCCTTCCCTTCTGTACAGTTAACCCACGAATCCCCTGAACCCACGAATCACTTGAACCTACGAATCCCCTGAGGTGTGTGTGTGTGTGTGTGTGTGTGTGTGTGTGTGTGTGTGTGTGTGTGTGTGTCATATTTCTGGCAGTGACATAGATCATTCCACATACCTTCAAAATATTTTCCATTTACACTCTATCAAAGCCGAGACTCTACCTGTTGCGAACTGACTTTAATTGAGGTTGTTATATATATATATATATATATATATATATATATATATATATATATATATATATATATATATATATATATATATATATATATATAATTTTTTTTCAAGTTGTAATAATTATACGTGGATTAATTAACTCACCTGGGCATCATGAATGAGTTAATAATAATCTTCACCTCCCACACGTCCTGTTACCCCGTGATGAACTCAGCTACGGACGCTTAATGAGAATCTTTTGTTATTGTTTTTGTTGTGATTTTTGTTGTTGTTGGATATCATGTCGACAAGGTTGGGTTTTGTCTCTTTTTTCCTGATATATGGGTGGTGATGGTGTGTGGTGGTGAGTGGTGATGAGTGGTGATGGTGTGTGGTGGTGAGTGGTGATGGTGTGTGTGATAGTGGTGGTTGGTGGGTAATAGTAGGTGGTGATTGTAGTCGCAGTTATCATGGTGGCAACAAAACAGTGCCGTTCCTTCCTCCTGCGGGGCGCCATGTGGAATGTATGTCAGGCGTTCTCTATCTCCGTTCAGAGGCGGGGAGGGAGGGAGGGAACGGAGAGAGAGAGAGGGAGGGAGAGAGCGAGAGGGAGGGAGAGAGCGAGAGGGAAGGAGGGAATGAGGGAAAATAGGAAGGGCAACGGGGAGGGAGAGAGATTGAGGGAGAGAGCGAGAGGGAGGGAGGGAGGGAGAGCGAGGAGGGAGGGAGGGAGAGAGCGAGAGGGGGAGAGTTATAGACACCTAGTTTAATAGGTTTCCCTCCCTCGCCTCTCTTGCCTTACGCAGTACCTGGCGCCCACCGTCATTACCTGTGCACACTGCTCCGCCATCCACTTGAATTTCACCTAACTAGAACGTCGTTGTTGGCGCCATTAACAAGAAACTTTCGCTCCTTTATTGTTGATGTTTGTTACTTGGTGTTTCTTACTCTGACCATCTTTCCCTCCTCCTCCTCATCCAACCCCCTTTTATCTTCTCCTTCCCTTCCTACCCTCTTCTTCGCCTCCTCCTCCTCCTCTCATCCTTTCCCCTTCCTCCTCTTCTTCGTCTCCTCCTCCTCAAATTTTCCCCTCTTCCTTCTCCTCCACGCCCCCCTCTCATCCTCCCTCTTCTCCTTTTCTCTCACCTCCCCTTCTCTCCTCACCTCCTCCTTCTCCTCCTCCGTCACCAACACTACCGCCCTCCCCTCCACTTGGCAATGTTGACGTCACCTTGGCAACCATTTGACGAGCATCTTGGCAATAATGACGCCATCCAAGGTACCGCAATATTCAAGTATCAGGATGAGTTGCCATAAGTTGTGCCAGTTGAGAAAGTTTTTGTCGCCTTATGTGAAAGATTATACAGTTTTTTAAAGGTCGTTGTATTTCTGATTCATGACTTGAGATATCCTTTGTAGGTCGACGTACTGTTTACCATTGTCTGTATACCTGTACTGCCTAGTGTACATTGTTTGTATACCTGCACTTAACCTAACCTAACCCACCCTAATCTAACCTATCCTAACCTAAACAAACTCAACCTAACCTAACCAAACCAAACCATTCAAGTAGTTATCAACCCATCAGCTAAACTATCAATACATGTTAACCCCCCCCCCCCTCTCTCCGGGTCTGTTAACTCTACATTCATCTATCTGTCTGTCTGTTAGTCTATGTATCACCTCATCGCTGGCAACTTTCGAGTGTCAGTCCCTAGTTTATCTATCGAGGAGTTCCTTGAGGGTGGATAATGAGTGAGAGATTTGATGATTAACAACTCTGAGGGTCACATGAAGAGCTGTAGTGAGGGAAGGAGGGATGGAAGGAGGGATGAAAAGAAAGGAAGAAATTAAAGGAAGAAGGAAGGAAGGAAAGAATGAAGGGAAGAATGAAGGGAAGAATAAAGGGAAGGGAAGGATGGATTACCCTTCCTCCCTCCAGAAGAAGTTAACAACCAAACTATACCAAACAACATTTGTCCACGCCTCTCTACAGTACTTCAGGAGGAGGAGTGGTGTCGCTGTCTCACCTGGCATAGTTGAACGAAGATACTGCATACCCAACAAACTCTCTCAGTGGCCACAAAACTCTCTCAGTGGCCACCAGAATCTCTCAGTGGCCACAAAACTTTCTCAGTGGCCACCAGAATCTCTCAGTGGCCACGGATAATCTCTCTCTCCCTGCATGACTTTCACTGTGTGTCTCAAAGTCAGTTATTTGAGAGAGAGAGAGAGAGAGAGAGAGAGAGAGAGAGAGAGATAATATAGAAAAGAAGAAGAAGAAAGAGGGAGTGATAGAGAAGGAGAGCATAGAGAAAAAATAGAAACGAAAGGAAGTGAGAGAGAGAGAAGAGAATGAGAGATGGAAAGAAAAGACTAAAAGGGAGAGAGAAAGAGACAAAATGAGAGAGACAGAGAATTATGAAGACTAGAGAGATGACTTAACCCCTTGAGTACGATGAATTTACCCCTTGAATACGATGACTTAACCCCTTGAGTACGATGACTTAACCCCTTGAGTACGATGACTTAACCCCTTGAGTACGGTGTTATCACATTCAAGGGGTTAAGTCATCGTACTCAATAGATTAAGTCATAGTACTCAAGGGGTTAAGTCAAACGTTGAAAAAAAATAAATATCCCTCACGTAAGGAAAACAACCCACCAGTGAAGTCAGAACAGGCGGGTATTGAGGCAACTAAACACAGGAACAAATCACGATACTGTCAGATGCACACATTCAGTTCACGTATGGAAAATTGATTCACAAATTCTGATTCAAGAACCAAGTAATTATTTGATGTTAGTACAGTATTTTCAGACACGTGTGATTACAGTAGAGGTTAGAGATACAGGTTTACAGTACTTTCTCTGTGTATTAGCATCACCAGAATATTCACTACAAATATATAGTTCTGTAGAATATATTATGTATTTGATGTTATTGTACAGCCATGGGATCGTTACCTTGACCTAAATCTGTTTACATAAGTCGATATGCAATAAGGCACAGCAAGCAGAGGCCCTACTACTGTAGCCAGATTATCTCTTGCGATGTTCTAAGGTTTGGTCTCACAGCCTCAAAGATTCATAACTTCAAGATTTTTCCCTTCGGTGGAGATGTGAGGACGTGGTTGACTGACTCACTTAAACCACGATAGACTCTTGGGTGGTTAAACTCGTGTCGAAATCTCTCACAGTGAGTTAATACGAGTCTTTCTCCTCCAGTGATCTTGACGATATTTATGATTCCTGACGCCAAGACTCCCGACAATATGATAAGACTGACCTGTTAGTGACGTGGGTGTCAGGGAGCCGCAGAAGATGGCGAAAACGGCGAGGTTACTGAGGCACTTCATCTTATCTGCGAAGGGCCTCACACGCTGGTATATATCCTGACTGGTGTGAACTGTCTCCCACTACACCACGCTGTCACTCTCTCAAGATGAACAGATTTATCCTACACGAAGATGTCTTAATTACTCTCCTCAAGTTAATTAACTGATTCACTCACTAACTCGTTTATTAACTTCCTCAACATTCGTAAAGTTAATGACAATAATTATATTTTATGTTTGAGGGTAATCACGCCTTGAGCGATGGTGGAAGATGTTGTATTCACTGTTGTTAAAGATAATGTCCAGGAGGGCGAGACTGGCCAGAGAGAGAGAGACAGAGACACTGTAGTGGGGATGGATGTGGTATCGATCTGATTGGTCATTGTGACGGCGCGTAATGTGTCACTGAGCCAGGGAGCCATCCGCCTCTTATCCTGTTATCTGATATTTCCTGATATATCCTCAACGCCGATCGTGTCGCTGTCAATGAGAAACCAGTGAATATTCATCGGTTACTTTACCTCCCATGATCGCAACGTACCTCTGTTTTGATGCAACGTCATGGCTGCGTCACGGCCCCATAGCCAATAGGAGTCTCAGGCCCCTCCCATACGTTCATGACGTCAACTTGTTGACCTATCACTATGCAGGATTTCATCACGACCGTGGAGTCACAATCTAACAGCCAATCGGATTTCTTACGGACTAGAAGAGTATCAGGCAGGTGCTGTAACAGTGAGTACCTTCTTATAATAATAATTAGAACAAACCTTTTACAACAAGTTTGATGTGTCGTTGTACAAGGACCATCTGTTACTGACCCAAAATAATGTTTAAAACGCGGGGATATTCACCAAAACATAAAGAGACACCAACAACTCTCCGGCCACTAATGAAAGTATCTGAAGCTTTTCGGAACGTTGCTGGGTGCCTCGGTGGCCCCCTGAAGGTTAGTTCCTTTCATAGCCGCTGCCGCAGTCTGCCTCTGGCTGCGAGAGTGGAAGGACGTCCGCTCTGTCCGCTTCTACCTCGCACACGTGACGATGAACTAATGAATGTTTTCCTCGTTTTAAGACAGATTTTTGCTGAGGAAATTTACATTAATTAAGAAGATTAAATAAACTGATCTCAAAAGAATTCAATATCTACTAAAAAAAACCCTGATGATTTATGTTATTTGTAAATATTATGAGTTAGTTTAGCCTTAATGAAGGTCATCTGTGTACAGAACCAGTTACCGTATAGCCACACCCAGCCATTATGTTGACGGTAATCGGCTTTGCTAAACTTTTCTTCTCTCTCTCTCTCTGACATCTCCTCCAGTGTGGATTAAATCTATATAATCTTTATTGATTTATTCCCTGTAGCTCTATGTTATTTGTTAATGTTTTCATATTTCGTCTTTCAGTCTTTGAGCACATGCAGGGTGTCTTAATAATTGTTTACACACGACCTTACAGATTTTCGTGGCGATGGCAACACTGTCCTCACTTGTAACTCAGTAAGGATGGATGTAACTCAGAAGAGAAGGTCGTAACTCACAAGGAAGGTCGTAACTCAGTTAGGGTGGTCGTAACTCAGTAAAGAAGACCGTAACTCAGTAAGGAAGGTCGTAATTCCTTAAAGAAGATCAACAAATTCATCTCTAAACTTCTACCCAATAAAATCCGTTATCAAGAAAGTACTAAAACTCGTCACTTTAGGAAGAAATATTATAACTTGCTGTTGTAAGACGTAGCGACTGGTGAATTACAACTCCCATAACTATATAATGTGGTCACTTACAACCCCCTCCCACCTTATCTCTGATGTTATGACGGGTTGTTGATGTGTTTAGTGGCTATGTCTCTCAGGTACGTCGGGGAGGGTAGGAGGTGTGTTGAGGAGGCTAGGGAGGGAGGGGTGGGTGAGGTTGACTGACTGGCAAGTGGCCATTGTGTATCCAGAAGGCGTTGTGGTGGTGACCTTGTTTACCTTGTGAGGATCATAGTGATGGTAGTGGTGACTCTCCTTCCCGTCCCCCCCCCCCTCCCTCCTTTCTCTCCCTCTCTTTCGTACTGAGAGATACTGAGAAGGAGAGGGGGAAGGGAGAGAACCAGCAGGAGGAAACGAGTAAGGGGGGAAGAGACAGATAGATAGGGGGGAGAGGAAGAGACAAGCTTAGACAGGAAACATCTTGTGACCAACTTTCCTCTTCCACTGTGAGCATCAAGGTTAGTTTCCCTTATAATATGAGTTTCCCTTAAATTGTGAGTTTCTTTCTTGATTGTGAGGTGACTAGTTATCCTGTCATTTTGTACTCGTAAATATACACATACACAAATAAACATACGTACAGAAATACAGACAGACAGACGACAAACAGACAGACAGTAGATGTAGGGGTCATTAGTTGTGGCTCCAATGACTGTCTGAACAGAAACAAATTATTAAGATTCCTGTGAATAATTAGCGTAATGAAGTATGTAGGTTAAGGAGTTTACCTGTCATTAGCACCTGTAGTACCTGATGCTGTGTTCAGGTCCAAATGTGATGCTGTGTTCAGGTCCAGAGGTGATGCTCTGTATAAATGCTGTGTTCAGGTCCAGAGGTGATGCTGTGTATAAATGCTGTGTTCAGGTCCAAAGTGCTGCTGTGATCAGGTCCGTGGCTGGTCTCGTGTACAGGTTCAGGAATAATGTAGTGATCGGGTCCAAGATTGCATGTGGTTGTATCCTCTTTGATGGAGCAAACGAGACGACGAAGGGAACCACGAACTTCTCATCTCCTGCATTACCCTGACCGAGCTACGTCACTTCTCTCCCCTCATTAGACGCGGGCTTTAAACACTGGTCACCTGTCACCATAAGTAAAAAAAAAAAAAAGAGTAATAAACCCCACTCTGGAAACTCGCCCAACATTTCCGTACGATGCTTCCTCCTTGAATGCCGCACTGTACGTGTCAGCACTCAGCCGACACCAACTGGCAGCGAGGCATCAGCTTATGTCAACAAACCCATGCATTCAATGTCGTGAAAAGTCAGTAATACCGTATTTTTATTATCCACTTATGATCAAAACAATGATTAATAGTTTCAGTTCAAGACTAAATTGTTTTATTTTTTTCGATCTAGTATCAAAGTAGCCCCGAGGAGTCAAGGGCGAGTGGTTGGTATTCAGGTTTCAGATTTGACCCCACGTAGCGTCAGACATAGGTGGGAGGGTGAGAGTTCCAGCGTCCAACAGGGAAGTGCGCTGGGTTCTTATTTGCTTTCCATTATTGGTATAGTGACAAGGGTTTGCCAAGGTGGTGTTCCGGGTCCCTCCTTTTTCCTGCATTTTTAAGGGTGGCGACTTCCTGGTGAGCAAAGTCATTGACAGCAAACAGTATTCTTGAATTTATATGTTGACTCGGATGAATATATATCCTCACATATATTACTTTATATTAAGTTACATACAAGCTATACTGTATATAAGAAGACGAATATATGGCAAAATTGACGGCTATATAATTTTATCTTACTTGATATGATCAAAAAATTCCTTCATAAAAATTACAAAAAGAAGTAAATTTAACATGAATGGGGCAAGTACAAGGCTCAGGTGTCATTGCTCAGTAATACCAGAGTGCAGGATTACACTATATGACACGCTGTCAGGTGAGTATAGTCTGCCCCACCTGTATTACTGATGCTAGTAGTAGTAGTAGTAGTAGTAGTAGTAGTAGTAGTAGTAGAAGTTAAAAATGATGGCGAAGGAGTGGCTATACGCGGAGGTTAGAGGCCACGTTTTAGATTTAAGAAAAAAGTAGTAGTTGTAGTAGTAGTAGTTGTAGTAGTAGTAGTAGTAGTGGTAGTAGTAGTAGTAGAAGGTGCAGTAGTAGTAGTAGTGGTAGTAGTTGTTTGTATGTTTATCTGCACGGTAAGGGAAGATGAGAGTCACAATCTCTCACAAACTGTTGCCGATCTCGCCGTTAATTGTTTTGTTTTGTGAACAATATATTAAATGCTGCAATATATTAACTTTCATAAAAACATTGTTACTTTTAATCGACTATTTTCAGCGTTGCCACATGTTCTCTCTGTTGCACATATGGAGTAGTGACCTACCAACCTATATTATCTTGCGCGCGCACCTCACTCTCGCACACTTTACTCTCACTGTCTAAAAACCAACTTCCGTCTTTATTTATTGTTCCTGGTTCTCTCTTATTGACTAATATTTACTATATATAGCAGGTATGTTTATAAAGATACATGTATACTGAGGAGACATTAACTGAGGAGAAAGAATCGCTTGGAAAAAATATCGGAAGAAAAGTTACCTTGCCAAGGACGCTCAGTGTGGCGGTGTTGCCCGCTTAGAGGGTGTCGAGAAGTGGACGTGATATGATGAAATTACTCTCTCTCTCTCTCTCTCTCTCTCTCTCTCTCTCTCTCTCTCTCTCTCTGTTTACATGAAGCTGGGGAATAGAAAGGTTTGCACAGCATTAATATTACCCATAGAAAACATTATCTCATATACTTAATCATAGAAAATGGATCTCCTGAATAATCTCTATCTACTTGTACAGATTAACCACCCAAAACCTAACCTAACCTAACCTAACTTCACTCGTCTCCTTTGTTCTCTAGAAATATTAACTTAGTTTCAGTTAGGTTAGGTTAGGTTGTTTGTGCTAGATTAAGTGAGGTTACGTTAGATTAAGTTGCCAGGGTTCGAGAGTTTAAGGGGTTCGAATCCTAAGTGTTGTCATGATTCGTGAGGTTTATGGGTTCGAATCCTCCTTTTACCTTCTCTCGTCCTCCCATAATAACCTTCAAGCAATACCTTGTACACACACACACACACACACACACACACACTCAAGGATTGGTACAACTCACCTAACCTAACCTAACCTCTGACCACCATCACGACTCAGCACTCAGCTTTAACTAAATATTAAACTTTCTTGACCTTCACAAAGACGCCTTCCTGCCTAACCTAACCTAACCTAACCTAACCAAGCCTAACCTAACCTACCATACAGGGAGTGAACTATCTTACTTAACAACCATTACTCCCATACAGGGAGTGAACTAGACGACATGGTTAATATTCTACCATACGGGGAAATGAACTCTTTCACACCTACATAGAAATACCTTTATGAGGATATCAGTTTACGGAACCAGGTGTGTGTGTGTGCGTGTGTGTGTGTACGGAGGGATGTATGGGTATACTGTAGGTATGAACAACCAGGAAGTGGCAATCCAGTCTTAGTCCACACTAATCTTGAGGTCACCTAACCTAACCTAACCTAACCTAACATTAACCCCTAACTAACCTAACCTACATAACCGAACCTAACCTAACCTA